GAGGCCACTGCCATTGGGGAATACCGTTGCCATGAAGGGGTGTACTTGGTCTGCCACAATGTTTAGGTAGGTGGTACGTGTCAATGTGACATCCACATGAATGCCAGGACCCAAGGCTTCCCAGCAGACCATTGCCCAGAGCATCACACTGCCTCCTCCTGCTTGCCTTCTTCCCATAATGCATCCTGGTATCAACTCTGCCCCTGGTAAATTAGGCACACATACATGATGTAACAGAAAACGTGACGACTCAGGCAAGGCCACTTTCTTCCATTGCTACATGGTCCAGTTCTGAGGCTCGTGTCCACTTTGGTGCTTTCGGTGATGGACAGGGGTCAGCATGGGCTTTCTGACCGGTCTGCAGCCCCATACGCAGGAGGCTGCTATGCACTCTGTGTTCTGACACCTTTCAATCATAGCCAGCGTTAACTTTTTCAGCAGTTTCTGGTACCGTAGGTCTCCTGTGGGTTCAGACCAGAGAAGCCAGCCTTCGCTCCCCATGCACATCAGTCACCCTTGGGCACCCATGGCCTCTGGTTCACTGGTTGACCTTCCTTGGACCACATTTGGTAGGAACACCCCACAAGACCTGCCATTTTGGAGATGCTCTGATCGTCGTCTAGCCATCACAGTTTGGTCCTTGTCAAAGTCACTCAGATCCTTACACTTGACCATTTTATCCTGCTTCCAAGACATCAGCCTCAAGAACTGAATTTTCACTTTCGTAATATATAATGGCTCCCTTGACAGGCACCAGTGTAAAGAGATAATCAGTGTTATTCACTTTACCAATCAGTGGTTTTACGGTGTATTCACATAGTCCTTTTTAAACAAACCAAACTCGCTCCTCTATATGTGGGCTTAGAGAAAGAAGTCACTTCGCTTTGGATTCACATTGCCCATCACTTCAGCCATAATGTGGTCTCAGTCCATTTCACATTCTCACTCTCACAGAGCTGATCACTCGAGTCATTTCTTCAACAAAACGTCGAGCTTATGAGAACGACCGGGAAGGAATATTAATAAAACTATTCAAAATGTCTGCTTTTATTATTTTACTAACTGGGTAACAAAATACTGCATCAACACCACTTTCCCAGCTCAATAAATCACTGCAATCTTAAGAATTCATAATCAATTTCTGACTGTTTTGACATCAGCACTGTATGGCACAGAGAAAAGCGAAGCAAGCCGGAAACACTTCCTGTTTACACATCATCAGCAAAAGAGCCTGATGTGGACTATAAATAAGCCAAAGTCACACCACATCTTACGGTGATCTGACTTCGGATTTCTTTTGGAGGGTCCGAGTTCCACTGGAGCATTCACATACGGCTCATTCTGTGAGGGCGACACACCGAGTCGGCTTACACTGGCTGAATCGAGCCAAGAGTGAAGACGCCCTTAATGTTATGGCTGATCAGTGTACATGATCCCATGCATAACCAATGTTCCACTACAGCCTGCACACCACATCCATGTATAGCTTACACATGTAAACGCTGTCTTCACTGACTCCGTGTATCGACACCTATCACTTTACTGTAAATTGCACGCTATTTATGGATAGCTATGATTGCCGTTTAATGTTTAATGTCCTGTATCTTTATATTTATGCCCCCTGTTTCACAGTCTGGACCTTAGCAACCAAACATGCCATGGTAACACTGATGAGCTCTAAGGCCGGCACTGGGAGTCACAGGCTCCCACACATGAGGCCCAGGGAGTCACAGAAGTGTCAGAGACTGAGAGGAGGCGGCACTTTCCCATGGTCACCAAACGGTGACCGGGGCACAGTCAGCGCTACGGGCCAGTCAGCATGTCACGCCAGAATGCGAGCTCGCTTAAAAATTCATCCATTCCCAAAGCGGACTCGCCGCCCCGCCGCCTCTCCTCCAAAGATGCGCGTTCAGCTTCGCTGGAGCGCAACAGGACACTCAACACTGGTGCTGACAGGGCGGAGAGCGGTGCCTCGCAGGAGTCGCCTAAGGAGGGGGGTCGGGGAGACGCCCAGGAGGAGTTGTCTTCAGTTCCTATTTATTTGGCTGTGACATCGAGGGAGTGATTTCCACTGTCTACGCGTTTCTTACAGAGACATGTAACTAGTTCCAGTTAATACCAGCATTACTGCAGCAACCAGGGACTTTATCTGCAGAGCAGGTCTAATATCAGTGGGCACAGCATCAGTGTGGCGGCACTGCCTGCGGGCGAGCCAGTCGGCCGGTCGCGGCCCAAGAGAGACCATCCTAACGGAGGAAGAGACGCCGCAACGGTCCGCCGACAGAAAGGACAGGTGATCACACATCGCCCTCCGCAGGTTTCTCAAGGCACGCTCTCGAAATCACCGCACCAGGGCGATTATTCTGAGGCAACACAGCCAAGTTTCAAAGCTAACAGCACGGAGAAGCGGACTTTTCCTCAAAGAAGGAGTCACATGACTGTTTTCCAAATATTTTATGCGTGGCACTTTTTTCCACTCCATTGGGCACATGCACGTAGGTAAAAGTGCCCACTGTTATGATGCAGTGAAGGTGTGAATGGAAGAAAAAAAAAAACAGGAGACAAGGAAGAAAAACCAAGGAATCTTTTCCAGTATATAAAGGAGAGAAAGAGGAGAGGGTACAACATCCACACTTACCGTCTGAGTCCAGGCACCTTTCAAACTTGAGTGACAGCTGGTAAGTGTCATAGCAGCGAACCCTTGGCTTGTATGTCCCTGTAACAGTGGGTATTTCCACTTTAATTAAAATAAATACAAACAAATACCCTTCAAAGGCAGGAGATGATGATCCTGTTACCAGCCCTCAGCATAAATGGGGCAAAAGAGCAAAGTCAACAAGGCAACAAGGACGTCACCTGCCGCTATGATGTACTGCCCGTCCCGGGACACCTTTATTGACGTGCAGACCGTGGGCATCTCGAAATCCTGGATAAGCTCGATTCTGCGCTGGACGTCTGTGGGTGAAACACGGAGGACAGACAGACAGTGATTAGAGCAAAGGTGCATTGAAGCTGGCTACTCTAAACAAGTGTGCGCAAAAAAATAACGTACCGACATCTTTCTTTTGCAAGTCTCTCTTCTTTCGGTCAGAGAGCCACTGTTAATAAGAAAGCGACAATCAGACATTGCGGTTCATTAAAGCGGCTCAGCGGGCAAAGCCTCTATGCTCGTGATCAGAAAATCGCCGGTTCGAGCCCCGGCGGGTCAGTCACACAATCGTGGGCCCCTGAGCGAGGCCCTTAATCGCCAGCTCCAGGGGCGCTGCACGTTGGATTTACCCATCTACCAAAGTCTACTGGTCTACAGCGGAGTTTGACTAGCAAACACGACTAGTTCAACGAAATATTCATTAGCCCTGAGGACGAAAAACCCCTTCAAAATCGCAGAAATAAGCTGATCTCTTAGAGAACATTACTAATGTTTTCAGAATCAGTCACGACTGTTTTCCTAGGTTTTATGTTGAAGTTGAAGTTGAAACGTAAAACGACACCGGGGTACGTGTCACGCAGTATGGATGTTTTATGGTTTCAATAGGGAGGTTTACTAAAGATCTAAGAAACTCATTAACGCGTTTTTCCCAATCAGCTGGCTAGGTTCCACCGTTACGCAGGACACTCGCTGCCTTACCTCTGGAAGAGACTTTCCGTGACTTAAGTTATATATTTTTACATCGTTCACGCTGGTTATCTGCATTTTTTCACCAATGTCGGCTGGCACACTGACTCATAACGCAAAATACAAAGATACTAAAGTAGCAACAGCACGCTGGACCCAGCCACATGAGTAGAGTAACAGGAAGTGTGTGCACCTGAAATCAGTTCCCGTAATATACAGTGTACGCACCATTTACCGTTCCGACTTTGGAAAACTCTCTATGTATAATTGCAGTATTATGTTCCGAGAGAATACATACACGTTTTTTCTTGCATTTTGCTTCGTATAATTTAGTTTCAGCCACTGTGCAGTTTTGTTTGTGTGATGCAAGAATAATTATTAATGTAAGATTTATATATATATATATTTTTTTTTTTAAATAAACAAACAAATAATAAGTAGAAATCATAACTAAAAAATAACAAACAAGCAAATAAAAATGATAAATGTTTTGTAAAATGATAAATGTATTTATAATGATAAATTATAATCAGAGAACCTTAAAATTGAAAAACGTAAACCTGCGTGCTATGGGAAATAACAGTGCTGTGACACGTAACGAAAAAAATCCTCATTTTGAATTGTTCCACAGCCAAAGGCATGTAGGTCTGCCTGATATTTATTCTAAGTTCATTTATAAACAAGATAGTCAAAACACACGTCCATCTGTCCATCCATTTTCTATACCTGCTTGTCCTATTCAGGGTTGTGGGGGAACAAGCCCAATGCAGGGAATAACCCAGGATGGGGCACCAACCCATTCCAGGGCACGCTCACACAAACCAGTCAGAATTTGGCAACTCCAGTTAATCTCAGCATGTTTTTGGACTGTGGGGGGGAAACTGAAGGTGTCTGGAGGAAATCCCACGATGACATGGGGAGAGCATGCAAACTGCGCACAGAAAGGACTGGGGCGGAGGCTGTCATGCCATTCCCAGTGCAGTGACGCAACAATGACCCACTCTAGGTCAATGTATCACTGTCAAATGTCATTTTATGGTTTTATAAACAATCTATGTGTTTTTGTAAGTCAGATACATGTATGAATATTGATTTGGGATCAGTGAGTGAGGAGTCTTTTATATATCAGTCATCACAATGCAGCAAAGTTGTGGTGCAATATGACTCTTGTATGATGTATTGGAAAAATACAGTAACGTAGCAAGAGAATGCGCACAGTGAAGATTACAGTTATGGCTGTTTGTCAATCTGAACTTTGGATGTTCTTGGCAGATGAGTCACAGCCACTCATGGAGGACTCCTGAGTAGAGTCAAGTACAGTATACTACAGAACTCTGCAGTATTGTTGATGTAATGATACTGAACCCATCAACGCGGAGGAACCGGCTCACCAGGACGTAATGCGAGGCTGGGTGCCTTCGTTGCAGGACGCTGACATCGGCCCCCTCCATCACCAAGTCATATAGAGTTTCCGAAATCATGGAAGGTGCTTTTCACAGGTAGGACTCTGCATCTTAATCTGTTTCGGTCTTTACATATTTAATAATGCCAATTTTGTCCAGATGCTGCAATAGGCTGCTGTCACTTTAGAAGGTTAGGTTGTGGTTTGATGCTCACTATGGTGACAAACTACACTGCTGGAAAGTCACTGGGGGGGGGGGGGGCAGGCATAGCTTCCCGTGGGAGTATGGTGTCCTGTTACTCTCATTACTTTATAATCGACCAATGAAATCATGTCGAGTTCCATGACGTCACTTTTTGTCAAACACATCGAGCAAAATGGATTCTTTTGAGGAGCTTTTTGGTACTTTGTTAAATTTGCTTGTTAAAAGCAGGTGAGGCAATACCTGTGAGATTAAGGCTATATTTACACCTAAGTGTAAATTAAGTTAAGCTTCATCTCTGCACTGTTAATTCAAAGCTAAGCACACCCTGCGAGCGGGAATCAGCTATGCAGGGAGGTGTGAGTGGTTTGGCACTTCCATTTCAATGCTGACTTATAAAGAGGCACTTCATTAACACCCAGAGACATGATGTGTCACCATTCACACTAGTCCTTCAGGTCTTTGAAGAGGGAGCAGGAGTGCTGTGGGAGGGGGCCAGCATGGTGGAGTTGTGGTTGATCGCGGCCCCCCTGGACCAGGCCAGCCTGAAGGCCATGAAGAAGCTGAGCAGCCCGATATCCAAAGCCGGCCTGGCCCACAGCTTCAAGTTCTCAGTTCCAGAGCTGAAGGTGCGTGCTGGTGTGGAGTCTGTGGCCTGCATCACCACTCAGGCAGCTCTGCACGTGTCGGGCAAAAACACACAGGTGCTCATCTGAAGGCACCTAAAGCGACGCTTGGCTGGATGAAGTATAAATGTGTGTCAACACTAAGAGTGAAAATCTACCTTACAGTAAATCTTTGCTGGGGACCCCGCGGACCGGTTTGAAAAACATGGTCTTATGTCACTAGCAACCTTTCACCCTTGAGTCACAGGGGGGGTGGCCTGTGGCTCATCAGGTTCATCAGTTCAAATTTCATGCTTGGCAGAATAGTCACATCTCCGTTCTGCTGTTGAACAAAACCCCACACTCCCTGAAACGCTCCAGAGCTGAGCCTGCGCTCAGGCCCCAAGTTTCACTCCCACCTCTATGTGGGCAAGAAGGCACTTGAGAAAAATAACACGTTCCGATCCACCTGTTCTCACATTTGTACAATTTGCAAATAAACACCCCTTACAAATCATCTGTGGGTCCAGCCATAGACCGATCTGGATTCGCCGATCTGACCATGCTCAGTCTGTAGGTAACGAGCCCTCTTGTGTGGCCCAGAACAGATTTCACTCTCTCTGCTGTGTACGTAGCCTGTAACTTTCAGTGGAACGCAGCTGGCAACATGACCAGCATCGATGAGCCATACATAATTTAAGCAAACAGTGCAGCTGCACCCTTTTCCATGCTGCAGAGTAAGCATCCATGCAGGATTCTCCCAGTGCAGCTCCCAGGCAGCCGTGTTGGGTGACGGTGGCTTCACTGTGGCGGTGGGTGTGTCACTGTCACTGTTTCAGGCTTTGCAGTCACACGATACACAGCTTCACTACTAGCCACAGTGAAATATCTTCTGTGCTGATGTTCTGGCAGGTGGGCAATCTGGATATTCTTCTAACTGTGTCTGAGGAGCTCGCTCAGCTGGATAGCTTAGCAGAGAGGTAAGACATCTCCATCCCACTGTGCAGAAACATCTCCCCCCACGCTGAGCTCTGTGCAGTGCACTGCATGGTAATAGTCTGACAGTCAAGCATCAGGCAGAGAACTTCCTAAAAAATCATCTGTAAAATATGTAATGTAATGCATACCAGGAGTACCACAGAGAGCTACAGTATGTGCATAGACAGTCCAGAAAGCAGCACAGGGAGCAGAAGTTTCTCCATGGAGGTGCCCTGAACTGGCAGCTGATGCTTAGGAAGACTTTCCTCCATAGAGGATCGAGCCAATGGCTGAGTCTCGCTGTAAGAACATAAAGAGGAGGAGAGGCCAGGAACGCTGAAGTCAGTGGAATTTCAATGTAAACACTGGTGACTCTGAAATGAGAGCTGCCAAGGTTCTGGTAGGACTAGATGATGTACACTCCACTGGAGACCAGGGCACCTCCAACTTCTGCTCCAGGCTTTGCTGAAAGAGGGATGTGCGGCTGATTAGCGGGACCAGCAAAGCTCTAACAGGCAAGAGCATATGTGTAGGTTACCTCACACACAGCCAACCCAGCATCACACGCCTGACAAAACAACGAAAGCAGTCTGTGCTGGGACTTGAGGTTCACCTACTGTGGTCTAACCCCCCTCACCAGGATGATCCACAACATGTCTCTGTGGATACTGGAACTGATGGATCCTGACAGGGACAAAAATGCCACAGCCAATGGAGGTGAGTGGCTGTGAAGGACCAGGGGCTTTGGGGTCCTGACTGTAACCTTCTCCAGCCTGGAACTGCTATCAAAATGTTTCAGAAAGGCAGCATGATGGCTGGGGTAGGTCTTCCACACAGTTGGAGCTCTGTGGCAAAGGCAGTGCCCTGATTCTGTTCTAGAAAATGCCTTAGTCAACTCATTTCAGTACCTGAATGCCCTCCAAACTCTCTGACATTGCTACATCTCGAACCCGTGTATGCTCTTATGCGTGCCGGATTTCCCAAAAATCAACAGCAGTAGAATTAACGACTTCTTTGTGAGAGGAGAGACGTACCTGCATTTTTTTGATGTTTACTACCATTTGATGAAATAGAGCACTTGCTATTTAAGGCTCTGACTCGAACAGGTACAAACAGTGTTCCTGATGGCCGTATAGGAAGTTCTCGAGGTCAGGGCACCTTTGCATGTCATGTACCGCGCCAGCCTGCAGTGTCCTCAGGCACCATGAAACGGCTTTCATGGTTCTTTCCTGCTATCCTGTCTCCAGCACTTCCATCCTGCTCTCCGCTGACGTGTGCTTTCGAAGACATTTGCCGCGCTAGTCCTACACCCAGGACCGGAGACGGTGTGGTAGGTGATTTTGGTACTCCGACTGGTGAACACTGAGCATTTATGTCATCTTTCTCTCCGTCAGAATTGAAGACACACAAAAAAAACGCCCAGTCCCTCGGGAAGGAGTACTTAAAGGCCTTGTTGGGTACTTCTGCCTTGCACTGTGTTGGCTGCATGCTTTTCCACAGGCTCTGTTTTGGTACAGTGTGTGTTTCTTAGACCTATGTGAGGCAGGAGCATCCAGGAAAGAACCTGTAACCTTGCTGTGTGTGCCTGTCTTGCGTGAATTCCTGCAGTGCTGCATTGCTGCGTATGTTTGTCTTGCGTGAATTCCTGCAGTGCTACATTGCTGTGTTGTGCCTGTGGCACCACCGTATCCCCATTCTGATTGGCTGCATGTTGCTGCCCACTCTTCCAGCTGACTTTGTTGGCTATGCGACTTGCTTCCAGTGGGACAGAGCCAAGTACCCAAATATGCTTCCCCTGAGCAGCCTTACAGAAATCTTCACCAAGGTAAGACGCTGTAGGAAAAACTCAGACTATGTCCAACCGCTACGCTGTCCAATGAAAACGATTTCCATCCACACAGGCGATTTCACATTTTGAAATGTATTTCTTTTAGGGCTGCTCGATCGTAGCAAAAATCATAATTACAATTATTTTGGTCAATACTGAAATCATGATTATTTACTTATTGACTTGAATGTCATGCATTTATTGTTCTTTCTAAAAAACTTGTATTTTTAACAGTGGATTTCCTTGAACTGAAAATAAAATTCAACTGAGAAACAAATAAAAGGACCTTGGGGGGAGAGATGCAGGGGATTTATAACACACGACAAAACGGGAGCAGCACAGGATAATGAAACACGACAATCGTTTTATCTCAATTATTTTGTACTGATATAATCATCAGAAGCCAAAATCAAAATTCAGGGATGGGTCGCATGATGAGTATGGGCCAATCACAATGCTTTTAGAGTCTGTTTTCAAAAGTCTGTTTTCACTCATCCACCCAGCAACACTAAAATGTGACCCACGAGTTTCCAGAAGTATACAGTTGTGAGAGCATTTACAGAAGTCTCCATTTTTTTGGACTAGGTAGTGTGGATGAAAGGTGAAAATGGAGACTAATGTCTTTTTTTTTTAATGAAAACGTCGCAGTGTGGATGTAGCCTCAGTCAGCGGATTCCGAGGTAGTTCTGGACCATCTCTGATCTCAGGGTCAGGTGCCAGGTTATGGAAGACTTCAGTCATCCACAAAATTTGGCTGAAGATCACTATACAGCTGACACTGGCCCAAGTGAACATATGTTTACTCGCTTTGGACATCTTCACTCACATTGTTCATCTACTTCAGCAACTGCTCCAGACGGAGGCCGATTTCATGTCCCGCAGCACGGCCTACAGGAAAATGCAGGACAGCTTGGAGATACTGGCAGGCAAGAAGGAGTGAGTGTCTCCTGGACACCACTGTCAGCTCCTTCCCTTGCCCTCCATCCTGCAGACCTATCCAGAATTTTCTGCTTTTCTCTTGGTTGTTCACCGAAGTAACTGGTACAAATGCAGACTATGATCTTTTATCTTCCGATAAGTCCCTCTAAGGACCACGCATGGTATGCAAATTTGGATTATAAGATCTCGTTACTGAAGGAAGTGTTGTGACTGACGGCATGTCCTCCCCTGCAGCGCGAGCCTGGCGACACGTGCTCTCTTTGAGGTCGTGACGGAGGAGGACTTTGTGCTGGACTCGGAGTATCTCACCACGCTGCTGGTAGTGGTGCACAAGTGAGCAAGACTACAAACACGCCTCCCGTATGGCTGTATGGTCAAGCCATTAACCCATCTCACGGAAAGGAGGTCCAGATGGTTCTGCTCAGTGTGACAGAACTCCTGAAAGACCGATACAAACACACACTGGCACATTAGGTAGATACTGTTACAGAGACCGAGAGCACTTTGTGTGTGTCTTTCTCAAACAGGAGGGACTATGCGCAATGGGAGAAGACCTATGAATCCTTATCAGAGTTTGTGGTACCTCGAACTAGTAGGTGTGTTCTCAACAGTGTGACACTTTTGCTTTCTAAGGTCCTCAAAGCCATGTAGTAATAGGAAAAGTCCAGAAACATAGTGTGATAAATACCCCCATCTAAGGGAGAGGGATGTACTGGGGGCACAAACCTCCAGTCACCTGCAGATTGTGTCTTTTGATGGCAAAGTCAGTAACGTAACAACATCAATGCATATAGTGATGCGAACTAAAGACACAGGTGGAAGGGGGCAAAGTATAATAGAGGACAAAATATCGAAACGAACGAGAACATCTACTAGACAGATATGAGAGCTTGCAATTGACGTCACCAGAGTGGTCAGTGCAGACTTATGGGCTGTAGCACTGCACAGATGACAAGACTCGCATACTGATAGATGAGGTGTAGGACACCTGGAAGTTAGCCTTACCAGGATGATAAACAGTGTGGAAAGGAGCTGTCTGGTCCGTGTCTGGGGTTGCATCATAAATCCCTTAAGGTGATGATATACAGGGCAACTTTTTGAGCGATGTTGCTCAGACTCTTTCCCATTGATGTTGCGCAACAAATTTCCGCTTGAAAATCTTTGAGCAGCAGTGGGCACATTTCGGCGATCATGCAGATCCAGATGAATTGCCCTTACTCTCACCTGGTTAACAGTTGCCTGGCATCGTTGCTCAAAAAGTTGCCCCATGTATCATCGCCTTAAGAGTTTTATGAAGGAACCCCAGACATTGCCAAAAACTACATTGCTTTTCCCCATCATTATGGTCAGAGGAGGCCAAGACTGTGTGTTTGTGCTGCAGGAAGGTGCTGGATGAGCCAGAGGGAGGGATTTTCACCGTCACCTTGTTCAAAAGGGCCGTGAGCGACTTCAAGGCCCGAGCCGCAAAAAACAGGCAAGTCCTTGGTGGCACGAGCAGACTGACCTCAAACACATAGGCAGCCCCAGAAATGGCTCTTTGGAAACAACGTCATGGTCCAACAGGGGTCCCCATTCCTGGGGGGCAGGTTTTCCAGGTTAGGCAGAACGGGAGCATCTACATAGCAGAACCAGCATTTAGGAAACCCTTTCCCAAGCCACTAGAGACACACAGCTCACCACCAGGGCTGTGTAAAAATCCACATCGTCGGGCGAATGAATCAAGTTGCCTGTCCGCCCTGTGAAACAGGTTCATGGTGCGAAACTTCTCCTTCGAGGAATCGCAAAAACAACGGAAGGAGATGATGAGCCTCAAAATCCAGAAGAAGGAGATTTCTGTGAGTCAGATGACGCAAAAAAAGTCACTTTGGCTTTTACCAGGAAGCAGTATGCACCATTGCGCTCTCCTTCTTGAATCTCTTCACAGGGGATCTTAGTAGGTTGGCTCAAAGCACAAACCAGAGAGACCTTCATGGTCTGGATCCACCTGAAGGCATTGAGGCTTTTCGTGGAATCGGTGCTCAGGTGAGTCAGAACGCAGCCCCCATGATTCAGCTGCGTTTTTCCACCACACCAGGCACCGAACTTTTGGTACTTCGAGAAAGAACCGAAAGTACAGTACTTCAAGGTGTTGGCTTTCCACTGGCGGAAAAACTGGTACCGGCGCCAAATGACATCACAGCGCGAGGCGGGTATTTTGTACTGAATTCGAAAAATAGCTGTAGTATATTATACGGCTTGGTGATGTGCGATATTAATACAAACATCACATGTTATGCACATTCAATTCTTACATCGGTAGTTAGCTGTATTAAAATAAAGATTTTCTAACTTTACATTATAGCACAGGGGGTTAAAGTTTTGCAAAAATTTTTTTACTCTGTTACTCTGTCATAGGAAAATAACTTAGCAAACTTTGCATTTTAATTATTATTCGTTTCACAGATTGTTATATGTTTAAAAATCAGTTTAAAGTTTACCTCCGCTGCATTTTCATGAGCGCCGCATGTTATCCGAGACAATCGTAATCATTTTCGTCTTTGCCATTTAAATCACTCGAAGACGGGTTTGTGAGAAACTTTTTTTGTTTTCTAAATACACCAATATTTATTATAAATATAGCAATGTGATTTAATCACACCGCTAGGACAGCACGCTATCTGCCTGCTGTGTTAGTATATTCAACAAAATATTTCTTATATGAAGAAATATGTTCTTATGACCAAATCGCATTTTTTACTTCATCATCATTTTCTGCGTATTTTCTGTGCTGTGTTTCAGCGACAGGCTATTTGCATAACCAATCAACAAAGAAAGCATTTCAAGTCCCACCCTAATGTACTCAGCTGGTTTGGCACTTTCAGTACTTCAACTTTTGTTACTGGTACTTGACCGGAAGTCAATGGAAACACGAAAGTAACATACTTGGTGCGGTGGAAAAGCACCCAAACAGGAACTTCTATGGGCAACGTGGTCACAGGCTCCAGTGCTTGGTCAGGCCTGCTAACCTGCGATGATTTTTCAGGTTTGGTCTCCCCGTGAACTTCAAGGCTCTCCTACTGCAGCCCGAAAAGAAGAACAGCAAGAAGCTGAGGGAACTTCTCAGCTCCTTGTTCAGCCATCTGGATATGACTCCAGCAGCAGGAGACCCCAGTGTAAGTCCTCTGTTACACTCAACGTGCTCCTAGATGGATGCTACTTCTCCATTAGCATGCCACGCCTGACTGAAGCCAAACTATGAGTCTTGAAAACCCATCCTTCTTAGTTCTACTTATTTTTTAAGACAAGGACCAAGGATGCAAGTTTTAGCAAGTATGGGATTGCTTCTTCTTCACAGAGAACAAACAGTGACTTGTCCTAGTGCCTGGAAAGCCAACCCAACAATGGCCTAGGTCCAGTTACAGAAAATGAGCAGGAACCAGGCCAGGGTTCTGTTGTCTCAACACCCAGTCAGAAGAGAAGTTACTTTCCAGTTTAGCTCTATAAACTGACACAAAGTAACTTATGCAAATTAAACCATTATAAGGTTGCTACTTAGTTGTTTCCTCACTGTAGCTATTTACTGCCATTAATTATTCAAGATACATTTTTAAAATAGCAAAGTGTAATACCAAAGGCATTTACCATGACTGTAGTTACCTTAATTATTAATGGATAAATGATTATGAAACCTAACATGGTTCTGTTGCCCCGCTGGCTAGGAGGGCATGGACATCCCCAGCATGAGCTCACAGGAGTACTACCCCTATATCTGCTTCAAAGTGGACATCAACCTGATGGAGAGCTAGGGGGGGGGGGGGTCACCCCATCTCCACGAGACTCAACTTGCTCACGACCTCTGAACCCCAGAGAAGGATCGGGAAAATGAAACCCCATATGTCCCACAACCCCCAACTATCATAACGGCCAGGCTAGATGTTACTACAAGATCACTGGAGGTTCTGGAGAAGCAGGAGCACTCACATTTCAGGAGTATGCCTGATAAAGAGCCCTGATGTTTATCGAGATTTTGGGCACCTCACAATCTAGGTCAGGAGTAAAACAAACAACAAAAAAAATGTTTTTAATTACCTGCTTTATTCTTCCTCTTGCTGAGGTTTTGCAGACCCACTTCTACCTCGTGGTGGCTTCTCCTCCTCAGTCATACTGAGGCCAAATGCACAGGTGCCCATCCCTCAGGCACATGCAAACAGGCAACCAACTTCAAGCTGAGTCAACACAACTCCAACCCACAGACACATCAATAAAAAAAACCCAACGACAAGTTCATTTTTATTATTTTTTTGTTTTTTTCCAGGGGAAAAAAGGTTTACCCAACATTTAAAATAAAATTGCATTGTAAGAAAAATATACAAGGTCGCCTATTCATTTCCTCTTCGCTTAACAATCACACATCGTAAGACATTCTCAAGTTGGGTATTAACTCAACACAAGTACAGCAGACTGTCAGTAACAGCTGAGCACAGCCAATCATTCAGAATAATGTCCTCTGTACTGGATTGGCAGGCGTGGCTGGGGAGGGGCAGCAGCTGACCAATGGCATCGCAAGCTGACCCAACCATCTGGTATTCAAAATAGGGAGTCTGTCCCCCACTGTTCATAATCAGAAACCACTGTGGGGGCTGGAGGAGCTCAGGCAAAAACCTCGCATCTCAGAGCTGCCGCTACTCCCCACATGCCACGTTTAGGGCAGCGGGCCGCAAAGAAAAAAAAAGGGGGGGGGCTTTAATTTATACTTTTGTTTGCGAAGTACAGTATTTAAGAAAAACAAAAAAATCCTGGTTTCTTCTCGTCCACGGGAGAGGAGGAACAGGCCGCACGGCCACAGTGCTGAACTCACAACTCGTCTTTCTCAAAGTCATCCAGCTCCACGTCGCTGAGGTCGATGTCATCCTCCGTGGGCAGCTGAGGGGCACAGGGAGCCATCAGGGCAAGGGGGGGGGCATCAAGCAGCAGCACTGACGTGCAGTTAATATGTTCTGTCTTTTGCGTGCTCCCTTCACTGAGAAAGGACCCGCCAGAGGGTGAACAGAGCCAGGCAGGTCACTGCTCCCCATCTCACTCACCTCCCCATCCTTGCCATCCCAGGGCTGGACGGTGTGAATTTTGGGAAGTCCTCCACCTCCAACTGTGGCTGTAGAGCCCCGCCCCATCGACAGGTCCCTGTTTGGGGGAGGAGAGAGCTTATCAGGCACAGATCCAAAAGTATGGTGCGTGTGTGTGTGTGTGTGTGTGTGTGTGTGTCCCAAGACAAAGTAAGCTCTGCTCAGCCGACATGATCTACAAGAACCCCAGTCTACGGTTCACCACAAAGAGGGTTCCGGCACCTGAGGAACTCGTGGATGCCCGTCTCGCTGAAGGAGCCCTTAAGCAGGGCGAACTTCATCTTGCGGGCGTTGATGGCCGCCATGGCGGGATATCCGAAGCCGCCGATGCCCAAAGCGGACTCCAGCTCCATCTGTGCTCCAGCCTCTGTCCACAGCCACCTGGAGGGGAGGAACACAGGAAAAGGGGGCATTTATCAGCCAAGTGGGGAGTCCTACAGACAGAGGTGGCCACTGGTCTGCAGAAACTACACACTGGACTGTCTTTATGATTCCTAAATCCGGAATGAAGGTCTTATATATAGGAGGTTACAGGATTCTGTATAATATTCTAAAAGCAAAGATGACTCTGAACTTCACCCGACCCTCAGGTACTGACCCCCACATCTTCTTCTTGTACTTCTCTGCCATCTTCATCATCACCTCCAGGTAGCCGTTCCTACCAGCAGCACCTGTAATGACCAAAAAAGCAACGGCGTCTTTACAGCGACGACCCAGAAAAAGGTGGATCATCCACAGTCAGAAGGAGGGTGAAAGCCAGCTGATGACAAGCTCGCCGATTTCAAGTTCGACAGCAATTCCCATAATGCACTGTTTTATCAACCCAGTCCTCAGGGACCCCGGACAGTCCACGGTTCTGCTCCCTCCCAGCCCAGTGTCCCTGAGGGCCGCGCTGAGAAACACAGCGGCATCGTACCAGTGTCCAGTATGTGAGGCAGCACAGCGATGATGCAGAGCTGATAGTCCTCACAGGTCTTCTTAAGGGTGTCCTCACTAAGGATCTGAGGGGCAGATGCGGTACAGTGAGTCCCTGAGGGGGTGCGACTGGACATCAGTCAACCCCCAGCTCCCAAAACAGTTCTCCCACCTCCAGCAGCTCCGGTGGGGGTGCGTTATCAGAGTAGAGGTCCACGGCCCGAGACACGATTTCGGCTCGGGACCGACCGCCATTGTAGTCTTCTGGCTCTTCGCCCTTGCGGAAGATTTTGATAGTAGGGAAGCCGCGGATCTAGGAAGGGAAAGGAAGCCGGACAGGTCAGAACCGCACCGTGTCGGGGCGAAAACCCCCTCTTCCACGACACGGTTGCCATCGGAAGGTGGCCAAGGGGCAGTTTACAGCCACGCCATCTCAGCCAGAGGCCCAGCGTTACACTGGCAAAAAACAGCACAGATCAGCAGTTCCGAATAACCTCTACCACGCTGCCAACAAAAAAAAGCAAGCTCATCACCTTAGGGTCAGGGGTAGGAAAACCTGCACGTTAACTGGGAAGACTGGCCAATTTCCCAGGACAGGGTGAGCTGTGGCATATGGCCCTGCATCCAGCCACCATCCATGCCAGTCTGGTCAACAGATGCCCAAGCCCACACTGACCCCGTAACGACTGGACAGTCCCTGGTGAACGGTGGCATCTACAGCTCCCAGGCGAACTTTGCCCTTGGTCTGCTCTCTGACGTCCGTGGCTGCGGCAGCCCACTCGGGCTCCAGACTGCGGGCAGAGTGACAGTGTGACAGTGAAAAGCTGGCAGAGTGTACACGTGCACTTCGCGCTTTTGGGGGCGGAGCCTCACTTCTTGCAATGGCCACACCAGGGAGCAAAGAACTCCACCATCCACACCTCCTCGCTGGCCAACACCAGCTGGTCAAAGTTGTCGTCCGTCAATTCCATCACGTCCTTCTTGCTCCCGCTGCCACTCCCGCTGCCACCGCCGCCACTCTGAGCATGCAAGACAGGGGTCAATGACTACCCACAATGCAACATTGCTCAACACTCGCAGCTACTGGCCACGGCTCACATTGGCTATGAACCCCCAAAAAGAAAGGTATAGCCCTCTTGGGATCAGAACCCAGGTCCTTAACTCTTCCTCACCCAGGCATGAGGGGTAGTGAAGGACCAACAAACGCCTTGTTGCCATGGAAACATCTCCCAATGCATATTCCACAAACGAGATGGCTTATAAATAGCACGCCACTTCGAATGAAACCAGCAGAGGTCATCAGAGCTCGGCCCGCCGAGAGACGCACCTGCCGCCCGTGGTCTGAGCCTCCCGTCTTCCCCGCCATGCGGTCTTTGACCAGAGAGCGTACGGCACTCAAAGCCGCCTCCACGATGGCCTGGCTGGTGCGACCGCCTGGAAGAAGCAGTCCAGAGATCAACAAATCAGCAGAAGAGAAGAAACGTCGGCTCTCAAACCCATGCAGGTTAAGGGTCTTATTGAAGGACACCTCTGCGGAGGATGGACCCAGCCGCCTTCAGAGTAAACACCACAGCCCTGCCCAAACATGCCAGCACAGAGCCCCCCCATCCATGCCAGGGTGGCAGCCCATGCTACCTTGGTATTCCTCTGGCTTGTTTTTGTTGGCGCCGAAGATCTTGATGGTGGGGAACCCCCGGATGCCATACTGGCCGGCGAGACTCTTATGCTGGTCAGCATCCACTGCACCCACCTTCACCACGCCCTGCGAGATGTTAAGCAACATGAGAAAGTAATGAGAGCGAGCAGCTCCAGTCATTTGGATACCTAGGGCCAGAGGGGGCGGGGCTTACATTCAAAGCAGTGGCAGCCTTCTTCCAATCGGGAGTCAGCCTCTGGCAGTGACCACACCTGAAGGAACATGTTCACCATTAGCCACTACAGCACATTCATGCCCCTATTATTACCAACGCAAGCCACTGGAAAACTGAACAGCTATTTCAACAGACCAGAGCAATCAAACACACATCTGGATAAGAACAGGAAGCATTTCACACACCAGCCAGATCAAGTCAACAGACACTGTTTGAACAGCAAAGGAGGGAAGGTTCAATACTTTATTTACAGAGCCAAATAAGACGATCCGCTGGGGGCCACCCCCAGTGCCACACCACCTTACTTCATGCTATGGGGAACTGCCTGGAGATTGGCTCTGGCGGGAGGCCCAGGGGACACTCACCAGGGGGCGTAGAACTCGATAAGCCAGAGGCTGTCGCTCTGCATGACTTCATGGTTGAAGTTAGACGCATTTAGCTCCACCACGTCGTCGCTGGGTGAGTAGAGGCCCTGCACAGCCAGGAGCAGTGAACACACCACCAGACCTGGAAAAAAAACGGCCCGATAAGAATTAAGTGGTGAACAAAACCATTGTTTACCACTGACGGGCAGGGTCCTGGGAACGCCCAGTACCAAGGCTAGCTGCAAGGATGCATTAGGGGGCTTCTCGCTGCTAAACTGCGCTGAGGACAAGCAACAAGCCTGCGCTGACACTCAGAGCTGGAAGATCCTCTCCCAGGATACTCCAGGCATGGTCTTTCAGAAAGTCCTAAGCATGAATCACACGGAATACGACATGTTCCGGTATTCTCGCGGTGCAGGGTGATGGCCGATCACCCAGTGAAGTGTTAAACATACTTCATTACCATCAACAAGTCTGCTTGCATCTGGCATAGATTAAAAAATATATACATCATAATGCGAGATGCGAGTTTCTTCGCCAGCAGCAGCACACACCTGCGATGAGGCCGTTTTTTAATGTTTCGTCGGTTTATCGCAGTCGTTCGTTAGCACATATACCGAGACCATGAGCAAATGCGACAACCGGGATTCATTCATGACCAGTATTTACTGGGAAAGCAGCCTATGGAGAAGCCTGCTACCGCTATGCCATCTTCTCACAGCATAGTGTTGCTTTCGGAGCTGTCAGGTATGCATGCAAGGCTATAACTTATTTAATACTATCAACTATATTAATGAAATTATAATTAAATAACTGGATCGCAAAAACAGAAGGCCACGACGGGGGTAATGTTGATGGTGGGGTGATTAATAAAACAGCAACCTACTAAATACTCATTTAACAAAAACTCAGATACACTTACCCCACCTAGATTTCAAATTGTAATAAAAAATAAAATGAAGACAGCTTCTTACCCACTAAAGACTCCATAACTGCTGCCGCTGTTCTACACCGCCTTTCTTCCCCCTAGATCCGCACGCGCCTCAGGTCCCAGATCCTGTGCACCCTCCGAAAGCGTTTTAAAAAAATAAAAAGTTGCACAAAAACCCTCGCCGTGGCCCGCTCTGATTGGTTGCCGTGTCCCGCTTTGATTGGCCGCGGGCCGTACGCGCTGCGGAGTGTCCAATGGGCACTCGCCGTGCACGGCATACGTTTCACGCCGGTCGAGTGGCGTGGAGCGCGGACAGTGGCAGGAGCGCGTGGAGTGTGCGGGTCGGTGGGGGCGTGACGGGAAACAGCCGAACAAGCATCAGTTGTAGTTCTCCACTAAAGCAGACCCATGCGATATATACACATATGTTTTTTTCATGTGGATTATAATGTCGGTTTACATTCAGCATTCAGAATCAGGTTCTTTGGACAAGATGTTCACACACAGGGAATTTGTCTCCGATTATCAACGGCTTTCCTACTTATAGTATATTCATATATTGTTTAGATAATGCAATGGTCACGTACAATAGGGTTGATAAATGCAAGAGTGTAGTGCAATGAAATTCCTGTGATTAATTCCTTATAGACTGTCGCTTTTTCAAATTCTTAATTTTTCGTCACGCTAGGTATTTGCTGCATTCGTGCATTTTATTTATTTAAGAGATGTTTTTATCCAAACCAACCGTGCTTGGAGAAGGCAGGCTCACACTATACCTGGAGCAAGCGGGGCTTAAGGGCCCAGCACAGTGACTTAAACCGGCATCCTTATGATTACAAACACAGTGGCCTACCGCACACCGCCCCGTTAGTAAGGACTTGATGTCAGTGTCTATAGCGAGCCAGTTAAGAAAGAGAGGATGTAACATCAAAATATATCCTGACCTCGACGTGATTTGAACACGCAACCTTCTGATCTGGAGTCAGACGCGCTACCATTGCGCCACGAGGTCATATATATATATACGGTTGTCTTTAATCTCTATTTTCTTCAATCATTCTGTCATCATTTGTCTGCATATATTTCTGGGGTTTTTCTTTCCTATGCGCGTGTAGTCATCATAAAATAACTACAAATGTTCCTCCATCATTGAATGCCTTCTCCAGGGGTGCGTTTCTCGAACAACGACGGAAGTTAGCATTAACGATGCATCGTACTATGGTAGTTCAAACTAACCAACATCCGACCAACGACTGTTTCTCGAAACCGTCGTACCACAGTTGTTCGAACCACGTTAGTTAGTTAGTTAGTTAGGACTTATGTAGTTGGAACTACAGTGGTTCCAGCGCTGATTGGTCAGACTCACGGCAAGTCGTGCGCAACAACTAACAACGCACTTTCACAGCCGGTCGCGTACAAACACTCGCGAACTGTGTAAAATATATAATAATCACACACACACACATGTATATTTATTTGTGACATCAATTTCTGTCAGTCACATAACGCCAATAAAATGAAAATTAGCAATCGGGGAAAAATAATGCGACGCTCCTTGGAGTGATAAACAGAATAACTTTTATTCCGACGTTGTCGCTTACAGAATATTGTTATACTGGCTGACTGGAATACACAGGTGTGTGTAATAACCAAACATTACAGACGTAATTTCCCGAGAACAAAGGCATGGATTCGTATCTGGCCGCTGTAGTGTCATTCTGCTAACATTACCCACCCCTGTGCTAATTAATACTTTGCAGTCTGAGATTTGCTCACTACAGACAGTTACCGTACTTATGACCAGAGACCCACACAACAATTACGTTTCAAACTACATTTTCAGACAACTTCACATTATATGTGATCGTAGAGCTAAATTATTTCTTATTAGGTATTAAAGATTATTAAATTTCTTACTTACACGGTGACTATACCCTTATTGCACTGTATTTTCCACCATCGCTGACGAATTTACATATAACTACGCTTCTAACTACAGCTCGTGAGCTGTAGTTCGAACTACACAACTTAACGACAGTGTTTGCGAACGTTCGTTCGAACTATGGTTTCGAGAAACACCTGCGTCGTTCAACGATACATCGCACCACGTAAGTCCGCAGTATCGTTACCTATGTAGTTTGAACTATGGTTTCGAGAAACACCTGCGTCGTACTTACATAGTTTGAACCACGCAAGTTGCTAACGTAGGTAGCAACGATGGTTTCGAGAAACGCACCCCAGACCGTGGACCTTTATGGTCCGGCCGACGGTCGAGTTTCTTCGCTGTCCCGTCCTGTTTCCGTACTAATTAACTTATTGCCACGGTTAGTTTACATAAACGAAGGCTTAATTAAGTAATCAGTTATTGCTGCCAGTGAAATATCATCCCTGAACATAGCTGTCAAGTCTCCCGTTTTGGCCGGGAAACTACCGTATTTTACCCCTCTTTCCCGCCGTCCTCCCGTATTAGTATTTTCCCGTAAATCTCCCGTATAATATAATTTTTAAAAAAATCCTCTGCTTCTCCAAACTGAACTGTCAGTAGCCTCGCGAAAACTGCCACCTGCAGTAATCCGCAGGTCATTTATAACATTAACCAGGTCATAAATGCGGAGGTTAAAATGGCAATGCTGTGTGCGAAAAACAACGTTAATTTGTCTGCAACAAATCTGTATAATAAGTCATTAGTGAATGAACATGAGAAATTAAAAGAAAATGTGTAATGAAAAAAAAATGTAAATGACAAGTGGTTATTTTAGATTTCTTGTACACCTGTCTTAAAACGTAAGGGATACTGGAGCTTGGTTGGGGTGGTGGGGTGGTGGGGTGGCTCGCGGTGGGTGCCGGAAAATTTCCCTTATTTTCGAATCCAAAACTTGACAGGTATGTCCCTGAATGACTCCGACAGTATTACTGCATGATTTTCCCGTTAGATCATACTATCATATTCCTCTTAAATATAACCCTGTGATATATCCCTTGTGATATTGGTAACTGTTGTTCGCTTCTATTCAAAACACATTTGTAACTCAATGGTAACTGAGCATTGCTCTCGGTAGAGGGCGCTATTTGATCACTGTATTGATGGGTCGCTAATACAGCCTTTCTGTTTATAGATTAAGTCATCGGCGATTGAGGCTCCTGGACCGTCACATCACTGTCACTATATTAAACAATTTTTTTCACATATTTAAGCGTGTTTTTTAAAGTTATTTATATATTAATGATTGTAAAACCCGACTAATTTATTATAATATTTCAACAATTCTCTTCGTTGTGTTATTAATATTGTCTGTAGGAGTTACGTCTTAGTGCTACGTAGACTCTTAGTATGAACTAAAAACTGAATAGTTTGCCGTTCCTTTTATTGCAACTTAAACTGATTTGTCAAATATGTGTGGCATACTTTTACTGCAGTAATGAAAGATGGGAATAATGTCGGGCTGAGATTCCCCCAGTCAGAGAAACGGGCGTTTCCGAGTCAGAAGTGATATGACATTGTACTGTTCTGCTTCTGTCACACGGAGAAGGCAGTGCTGTCATCCGTGACGCTGTAATACAGAGATCATTTGTTACGTTTCACGGGAAATCGCCCAGATTATTGTCTGCCACCCTTTTTTCGCTCCCTCCCCTGCCAATTGGTAACTTTTCATTCACGCTTGTCGGGATTTGTGATTGTGGCGAGACTCGCTTCGCTTCAGCGACATGGCTGAAGCTGATGCTTCCTCTGCAGGGGAAAGACATTATGTGTGAGTGTCCGTGTGTCTGCATGAGTAGTGGGATTAAAAAAAGAGAATGAAAGTGAGAGAGAGGGAGAGAGGGAGAGAGGAAGGAGGAGGGTGGGAAGGTGGAGAGACCTGTTACTGAACTGCAGCTCTCTCCCCGGGAAAGCAAAGAGCTTGGTGCCAGGCGAGCACAAGTATAGCGCCTTTCTTCAGTGACCGACAGAGCTGCACTTGTGATGTTCCCCAATCCTGTGGACTACTACAATTTTTGCGCGCCTTTAAAAGTTATTTTTTCCTCATAAGGAAAGAAATTCGGCTTGCATTTATAGTGATATAAAGAACGACTGAAATTTCATCAATGTTTTGAAAACGACGATATTCATACCGAGCAAAACATGTGGGGAGTACCCAGGACTCGGTCCGGGGACTGCAATGGATCGCAAGCCAGTGAGGACACCGAGATCGTCGTGAACATCGGCGGAGTGAGGCAGATACTTTACGGGGACGTGTTAAACCGCTATCCCGAGACACGGCTGGCAGAGCTGGTCAACTGTTCCTCTGGGAATGTCGATGCTATATCGTCTCTGTGCGATGACTACGACCCGGGTAAAGGGGAGTTTTACTTTGACAGAGATCCGGACGCTTTTAAATGCATCGTCGAGGTGTATTACTTCGGTGAAATCCATATGAAACGGGGTTTCTGCCCCATTTGCTTCACCAAGGAGATGGAATTCTGGAAAGTCGACCCCAGCTTCCTAGACGAATGCTGTAAGAGTAACCTCAACGAGAAAGAGGAAGAGTTGGCGGAAATAGCCGATAAAGTAAAACTTATCCTGGATGACCTGGAAGGGGACCCAGCCGCTGGTCGCTGGGAGCGCTGCCAGAAGTTCCTATGGAAGCTAATGGAGAAGCCGGAGTCCTCGCTGCCTGCGCGGATCATCGCCATAGTGTCCTTCCTCTTCATCCTCATCTCCTCCGTGGTAATGTGCGTGTCCACCATCCCAGACGTGCAGGTGGTGGACGCCGAGGGGAATCACGTGGAGCACCCTACCCTGGATGCCATCGAGACGGCGTGCATCGGCTGGTTCACCGTAGAGTACATACTGCGCCTCATCTCTTCCCCTAACAAAGTGCACTTCGCCTTTTCCTTCATGAACATCGTGGACTTCATGGCTATCATGCCGTTCTACGTGGTGCTGACCCTCACCTACCTGGGCGCGGCGATGATGGAGCTCGCCAACGTGCAGCAGGCGGTACAGGCGCTGCGTATTATGCGCATCGCCCGCGTGTTCAAGCTGGCGCGCCACTCGTCTGGGCTGCAAACCCTAACCTACGCGTTGAAGAGAAGTTTCAAGGAGCTGGGTTTGCTGCTTATGTACATGGGTGTCGGTATCTTTGTTTTTTCGGCCTTAGGTTATACTATGGAACAGAGCCACCCAGAAACCCTGTTCAAGAGCATCCCACAGTCTTTTTGGTGGGCCATAATCACCATGACGACCGTAGGCTACGGAGACATCTACCCCAAGACCACTCTGGGCCGATGTAACGCCGCCATCAGTTTCCTTTGCGGGGTGATAGCTATCGCGTTGCCTATCCACCCCATCATCAACAACTTTGTCATTTACTACAACAAGCAGAAGGTGCTGGAGACCGCGGCCAAGCATGAGCTGGAGTTGATGGAGCTGCAGTCCGACGAGAGGACCGACAAAGTGCCCCGCAGGTGCCGAAGATCAACTGAGGCGGAGGGCATGTGGGAGAGCCCGGTGCCCGCCGCGCTCAGCGACACCTCGGTCCCGCTCCTGACGGACTGCAGCAGGACGCGGCTCCAGAGCTGTAAATGAACGCAAACCCATCGCCGCTGCCTGAACTGCTGTGCGATCAAAGGCGTTAAAGCCCATGCATCTTTCTGTCCATGTCACGCCTTGAACTTGAAGACACTATTTAATGTATTTTGTAATAAGCCCAGTAGCGGGGAAGGAAGTCGGTTGAGGAAGTTCTTTCCTTTGTTTTTAAAAATCATTTAAAACATCGCTCTTCTCTAACATGTATCAACTGTTGGATGTTCATTAAATGATTGTTTAATAAACAACTTGCATGAAACGCCTTTAGTCAGCGTAAAATGTGTTCTTGGAAATTGTGAAATCACCATCTTTATCAGTGCATTAATACCGACACGTTTTCATCAAGTTTAGCTTAAATAAATAACTTAAGAAATGCTTCATTATTCCAGACCATAAAATACCAATCAAATGTGAAGTCGTATTACACCCTGAAAATCAGTTCAATTTAATAAAATAATGTAGAATAACCATCAAGAAGCTTAACAGTAATGAGACAGTAAGAGAGCTAAACGGAAAGGCACGCGGCTGATCCGTATGTTTTTGTTCTTCTTTCAATTCATTCCACTAATGTTCAACCAGAGCCTTTTAACACAGAAATACCCTCCATGAATTTAAATGAGCCGATGATTATCCAAAAATTGTTCTGCACAGAGAATCAGAACAACGAAACTAGATTAATTAAAACACACAACGTATAGTGTAATGTGTTAAAAACACACAGACACACACACACGTATATATATATATATATATATATATATATATATATATATATATATGTGTGTGTGTGTGTGTGTGTGTGTGTGTCTGTGTGTGTCGCGAATATATATGTGTGTGTGTTTTCCTGTTCAGGAAAATCCCTGGAGCACGACATTAAGTTGAAATATTAAACTCTTCATGCGTTCACTGTGAGGATTTTCTGCGGTTTGGTAATTAAAAAGATTAGCAATATTTGAAACGTCCCAATCCCTGCGACCCTCAGCAGGACAAGCGGCTGGACACTTGTTCAGATATAATTTGTAAGCATCGTGCGTCTTGAATACTTTATGACTGGGTTTAAAAGTAAATGTAGGCAAGTTCAGCAAATAATTCGGGTATAGAATTACCGGGTAATTGCCTGTCTTTAATATTTTTAATACAGTACTGACAATTATACTGACGATATTAATGATAACCTATACATTTCCAAGGCACTCATTTTATTTCTATATGTGATAAATTTGCGATATAGTATTTATTTAACATAAGTTTGTTTCTGAATCCTAATTTTATATGACCCTATGGAAATGTTCTTTCTTTAAGACTTGATCGCGAAGTGCCTGAAACACGCAAATGAACAAGGACAAGCGTAACCTGAGCACGAATGTATGTTTTTGCTGCAGTAACATACTGGCAGCGGTACAGCCAAGAATGTGTAGAAGACGCCGCAATGTGTTTGACCACTTTTTCGTTCCCCACAAGGGCAAAATTTTATAAAAATCTGTCTTGTATTTTGTTTGGTTACTTATGATTAAGGTTAGGCGTTAAGGTTGTCATTCTTGGGATTTGAGTTTTTCCCATAGGAGTGAATGGATGGTCCCTAAAGAGATATGAAAACAAATATATATGAAGAAAAAAAAATATATATATATGTGTGTGTGTGTGTGTGTGCGTGAGTGTGTAAGCGTGTGAGTGAAAGAGACAGAGAGAGTGTCTGCAGCAAACTCCAAATATGACTAATAAAGTCAGTGATAAGGAAGCAGGTCAATAGTGAAATAAAAACACCACTGACAGCCATATTGCAAAAGTATAATGACACAGTGATATTTGATTTAAAAGAGTGATGCTGGTTTCGCTATTTCTGATGTTCTTTTTGCTTTGTAACTGTGTATATTTTCCCAGCTGCTGGTGGGAAGATCCGAATCTATGTACAGTAAATATTGTAGTGAAGCATCAGGCCATTTCAAAGCTAATGGGAGATATTATGTTTGGCATGTTAGAGCATCGAGTCATAAACAATGTCCAGTTTGGCAGGAGAAACTGCGGGCTTGTGCAGGGACTCAGATACCAAAGGATCGTAAAGGGGGGGGGGCTGGAAATTAAATTACTTAAAAAACATCCATGTGGGATGATGTGTCCGCAGAGTAACTGGGCCATGGTAGGGAGGGGGGCGCAGGCAGATGAAGCGGGAGGCTGTTGCCACGGTAATGCATTTTCACTTCAGTGCTGGTGACTACATCGAGCTGCGCTGCTGACATGCGGAGCCGGTACCGTCGACACGCTGAGCCGGTACCGTCGACATGCTGAGCCGGTACCGTCGACATGCTGAGCCGGTACTGCTGACACAGAGAGCAATTACTGATGACATACAGAGCAGATGCCACTGACACAGACAGCAGGTACCACTGACACAGACAGCAGGTACCACTGACACAGACAGAAGGTATGTCTGACATGGGGAGCTGGTACCAGTGACACATGGACCCGGTACCGCTGACAGGCGGAGGCAGTACTGCCGACACACTGAGCCGGCACTGGTCCGAGCCCAGCACTGGTCCGAGCCCAGCACTGGTCCGAGCCCAGCACTGGTCCGAGCCCAGCACTGGTCCGAGCCCAGCGTAAGCGCCTGCAGTAAGTAGCAGTTGACGGAGCTTTATTATTATTCATTTGTTTCCCCCACTGCAGGAACCCCTGTCCTGCCCCCCTCCACTGGCTCTTGGGGGGCAGCATGTCCTTTCCCCGAAGCTGGTGCTGTTCCCCAAAGGGGGCTCCAGGGCCTTTGGGTAAAGTCCTGCTGTGAACATCCACAGGCTGGCAGGCATCTGCGCCGCAGACACAGTCCATGTTTGGTTACTTTACTCAGCCTGGTCCTTAACCAGAGCATCTCCAGTAAATATATATACCAGTATAAAGGTGTAGAATGTGTCACTTTGGGTGAATATAAACTGCTCCAGCAGGGGACCCACTTCAGCCCCTGTGCTATGCTATCGGTACCGGGATTCCCCGCACGGCTTGCGGTGAGTACGGCACCGACCGTGACCGTTGTGTGCCTGGATGATGCTGCGTCGGACCCCCTTGCTGGGGAGAGGAACTCGTCCCTGTTGCCGAGACAACGAGCATGGGCACCGGCGGGCACGGGGGCCCCTGCTCTGCCACATGGTGCCCTGCATAACATACTGCTGTGAGCCATGGGAGGAGAAGAAGCAGCCCAGCAAAACTGCCTGCCACTGACAAAAACTCTCTGGGCCGGACCAGTTGAGGCGTAAACCCTTTCACCTGCCGCTGTCCTCATTTTTACCTGAGAGAGAGTATGACAGCCTCCGTTTGCCATTTAATAATTCATAATAGTTCCCTTCATGCAAATTGCTACCGTCAGGAGTGCAGCAGCCTTAGAGATGCGCTTCTCTGCAGCTCCGCCTTGCACCACATTACGTTTTGAGACAGAAAAATGAAAGAGATAGCAGATGTAGTTTTGATGCGTCATCCTGCTGGGAGATGCTGAGGCTGAGCTTCACCGTGGCTGCAGCGAAAAGGGCCTAATAGGGGCTTATAGAGAATCTGCCCAAACGGAGGGATGGAAGCATGAATCATCACCTGCCATTTGTGTTCTCCGACCAGATGGAGTCAGACAGGGAGAAACACGAAGCCGCCCGAGTCTGCTGTAAGTTACCGAGCTGAATCTTCACCTGCAGAGACACACGCTGAATGCATCCAAGAAACCGCGGGCTGTACCAGGACAGGAGCGTCGCTGTGGGGCTCTCTACTCACGGCGCTGGCCGACATTAATGGCGACATCGATATAATTCCTAGTCCGGCTAATCCATGCCAACGGCAGGGTCGTGGGCTGCTTTCAGGGCGTTTCTGCGATACCTGCTGGCCGGCGCGGACTCAAGCTGGGCCATAACCTTTCACTGGGAGATATAACTTGCTGAGTCTCTGGGCCCCCTCCAGGACCCCAGTACAGAATACATTATGGCATGCCCCCCCAGCCCTACCCACCACGCTCAATTAATCAAACATGTCACATAGTTTGTAAATAAATGAAATAGTCTGTATGGAGCAAGTGATGCAGCTGGCGTAAGAGTCAGGGTCACATAGCCCCTGACCCTCAAGCGCTTGAGAGCAGTACAGGTGCCCCCCCCCCCCACTCCCTCCGAACCACCCTGTCAGATTCTTTTAAGCTGTAGATCGCACTGCATCTACTACTTGAATAATTCAGCAGCTCGCTTCATGCGCTCCTCTCTGAGTCTCTCTGACAGACAGTCCCTCTCACAAACACACAGAAGCCCTAACACACACACACACACACACACACACACACACACACACACACGCACACACAGTTCCTTACTTACACCCAGATACACAAAAATCCATACTTGCAGAGAGCACAGCAACATAATCACTCATAATCACTCACACCACAAAGGCCCTGGTGATGCATGTGCGTCCCTGAAAACATGTGCAGTGGCAAAGTGAGACGCTTGATGGGGGAGAGCAGGACGGCATGACTCTGTCCGGGACCACGGCCGGAGATCGGGGGGGGGGGGGCGTCTGGCATTTGCCCTTGAAAACAAACGCTAGCTGCCGAATGTTCTCAGAGGAAGCACCCACGTGCCCCCCCTGGCTGCCAGTCGGGTGGTGGTCTCCAGGAAGGCATTTCTGAGCGGATAACAGAGTGTCACATGACCGCCTGTAGGTCTCTGACTGCAGTGACATTTCAGTCTTGAGTGGCTGGCTTCTTACATGGACCGTACCCTCCAGTGACCAACAGAGTCATGAAAGTGAGAAACGTGTTAATCCTTCTCCAGGGCCGGGGGGGGGGGACCTCTGTCCCGCTCTAAAAATAGATGCCTGGGGCCCCATCTTCTGATAAACACATTGAGTCTCTTTTGAACGTTTCCAAGCCCTGCACTCCCCCTGGGTGTTCGGGCACCCGCATGTCTGCTCTGCACCCCCCCTGGGTGTTCGGGCACCCGCATGTCTGCTCTGCACCCCCCCTGGGTGTTTGAGCACCCGCATGTCCGCTCTGTAAGCTGATCTCTGCGCTTCTCTCACTTTCTCCATCTCTCTACCTGTGTGCCGTTGCCTGTTGAGGGTATTTCCAAACACAGGGGCGGATTAATGCACAGGCCGTCCCAGGCTGTAGCCTAGGGCCCAGGCAAACAGGGCCCCCGCCCTGCCTCAGGAAAAATGGAATGGTTAGTTAAATTGGCAGCACTTGAGAGCCCATGCTATCGTCAGCCTAGGGCCCCCGGAAACGTTAATCCACCCCCATCC